GCTATGGTTCTCAGCTGATGGGAGGGGGAGGAAGGAGAACATGACGAATTTTATAGGGGGGGGAATAACTTTTCTTCCTTTCAATTTTCTAAATAGTTTTTGTTTTTAAATCTTCATTCTGACTCATCTTGGAATGTGTTCACTTGGGAAATACACCCTTGATTGCAGGATCTGGGTTTTTTTAAAACGGGTAAGAGCAATGCTGTTCACTTGCCAAAGTAATTGCTATACACGCGTATACGTTCCCAAATGTATTCTCCTTTAAAAAAAATAAAAAAATTATTGTATCTCTTTCTTCTTGCCTCCATCTCTCTCTCTCTCTCTCTCTCTCTCTTGATGAGCTAAGGGGGCCAAGCCCCAGAAACAACACTCAAACAAGATTAATACAGACTACACGGGTTCTGTGAACACTAGCAATATCATCTGCGAGAGTCGAGCCCACCCACTCAGGGACATTATCAAAGAGATGAACTCCCAGATCACCATTTAATTCTCCCACTCCCTCTCGAATAACTCTCTCTCTCTCCATCTTTTCTTCTCTCCGTCAGTCTTCATCAAACTCTGCATGTGTATAAATTTGGGTAAAGGCCAAATACTGGAGTTGTTCTCCCCTCAAAACAAAAAATCATTTATTTTTACTTATTAAGCTGGAATCTGAAACTGTGGGAATCAGAAACACAAAAACTCAATTCCTAGTATATCTAAATCAGCAGCATCATAGAGAAAAGGAGAGAAATGCAGACTTTTTTTGTGTGGAGAAACAAATGGAAAAACAAGAGAAATAGGAAGAAGGAGAGGGAAAAGGAAGAAAATAACTGGCGGAGGAAATAAAATAACTAGCCTAGATTGATTGTGTTTAGTTGTTGTTCGTGTGCTTAGCCCTGTTTGTTAAGAAGGAGAAGAAGCAGGAGAAGGGAGGCAACGGAGAGAAGAATAATAAAAGAAAGAGGGCGACAACCGAGAGAAAAGAGAAAAACTAATTAAAAAAAGAAAGGGAGAGAGATAGAGACAAGAAGGTAGAGAAACAATAATACTTCGATTGTGAACAGCATTGTTCAACGGGTAATGTCAACCCGGTTTAGCATAAAGAGGATACTAATGTTAGCCATTTGATCAATCTAACGGCCCAGTCAGTAGTCTCCGCAAATAACCTCCGCACAGCATCTCCGCATTATAGTCTCTCCAATCCACATTGAAAAGTTGGATTAATCTGGGTAGCTTTTGGAGTCTTAGTGTGGGTCAAAGCTCACTGGACTGTACTAAAGCCCGCCCAAGGACCACGGGCCGAAGACTTGTAACTAGTAACCGTAGAGAAACAAAATTTGTAAAAATATATATTTAATAGATCTACTAGTCGGGGAAGCAGCAGAACAGAAGAAGCATTTCAAGGTTCAACATAAGGGAAGAGAAGAGAAGGCGGCAGAGGAAGCTCAACATGTCAGTCTTTGTTGTGAATTTTCCTTGCTGTGCACTGGTGAGTGAATCCCACCCGAGGCTTAACTTGTCCTTTTCCTATTCTTCATCTATCTATTGATCTGGTGTTCCAGCCAGTATTTATTTATGATTTATGAAAAATTCAAATTTGGGTAACAGTGGAAATCAATGAAGCTTGGGTTTATAAAACCATCGACATTACCAAAGCAGTTGAGTCCCACCAGCAGCACAAAAGTGCGTTTGGGGAACAATGATGGGGTTAAGGCGTTTTTCTTCAATCCCACTGAGGAACCCATTCTCAGAGAAGCGCTTAAGGTACTACTTGTTACTGCTACTAGCGCTTAAGTCAATTCATATATAAATAAATCCCGATTAGTTTACTCAATTCTGAGTTCCCAAATTCCGTGTAAGGTAGGGATTTTATCTTGATATTGGTTTGCTTGTTTGTTCTCCCGATTCAGTGTATGATTTTGTAAGAGGTTTATTCTGGATGGTTTAGGGTTTTTGGGGGATTAGACTGTTACCAACTGATTTTTGCATCTTGATAACACAGCATCTCATGCGGATGCAAAATATGGATTCGAAATGTCACTCTTGGTCTTGGAGCATAACACAACACAATCATTTGCTTTGGTATATTCATTAGTTACTTCCTCTTGTTTTTCTTTTAAAATCTTAGTCCAAAAAACGTCTGCCTGATGTAGACACCACTGAGTTATATCTGTCTTGTCCATGTTTGGATGGTATCATCAGTAGTTCTCTTCTAAATCCATGTAGCGTGTACTACCTCAATGCTTGCTTTGTTAAAAGTAACTCTCTTTGATCATTTTCTTATGACATGAGCTGTAAAATGAAGATGCATTCCATACTATATATTATTCATTTGTTCTCCCAGCTCTCCCATCTACTGTGTTTTAGATGATAAGTGCCACTGCCACTAGATAAAAAGAATTTTCGATGAGAATGCAACATAAATGGTATACTATTATTTCCATCATTTCTCTGTATATCTTGTCATTTAGGAGCCAGTTGCGTTCATGGGAGGGATGTTTGCTGGTCTCTTACGACTTGACTTGAATGAAGATCCACTCAAGGATTGGGTTTCAAGGACTGTGGAAGCCTCTGGGATCACCGAGGAAGAAATTGATGCTAGCGGGTTAGAACCAGAAGAAGAAGCCCCGCTACAGATTGAGATTGAATAACATCTATCTTTCTATGTGTATACTAGGCTCCTCTGGTTGGTTAAGCATGTAATCATGGCCCCATTGATATGATATATGCTGGAAACTTATGTCAAATACTTCTTTGACACAATGGCACACATATGCCTGCGGATTCATTGTAAGTATCATTCTTATGTATTTGTGTTTATAGTTTCACTTTGAACAAAAAGCCTCTATGATGACAGCTTTTGAAAGATATAACATAAAGGACTGTTTCTGTTTACCAAGTGGTTAATGGTTTACTTCAGACAAGTAATTTGCATGAGCATAACTGAATCTCTACTGGAGTCGGGTTTCAGATTTGGATCCTGTAATTCGATTTGTTAGTTAGATGGATTCCTCTTTGAGATATTTAGTGATATACCCATTCTTAGCAAAAATATTATAGATAAATCCTACAACATTGAATTTCTACAAACAAACCCAAAAAATGACAGCTGGCCTTATTGAATTTAATATTGATTATTAAATTACTTTGATGCCTTATTGAGTGTTTTGGGTATTTTTATGATATTTTGGGATTGGGCTTGTTTTAAGAAATTGATGGCAGTTTTGTAATTTATAAGAAGTTAAAAGCTTTTTTGTTATGTTGTAAATGAGCTTTGGATGTGTTTCTAAAGTCCATTTCATATGGGGTATTTTTATAATTTGGGCCTCTATATTGGGTATAATAGTGAATCTCCCTTGCGTTAAGAAAACGTAAGGGACACCATTTGGGTTTTATATTTATTTCTTATTTTGGTGGGATTTAAACCTCGTGCCTAACAATCTCAAGATTTGAATACCTCATCCTTGCAGGATAATGGAACTATATAAATTCATAGGATACATGTCCTATGTTGCTTGACTTCTCTTCTCCACATCATTTGAATATCATCAAATGGCTCAAATGTTAAAACCACATGTAGGCTTAAAGTAGGAAATAATTATTCTCGAATTAGCTGGTGATTTCTTCCTCAAATCAAGTTCTTTCTTGTCATATTGTCATATGGGTTTTTCCCATTAACTTATCCTTTTTCATTTTGATGGTTAAGACAGAGATTCCATATCCCAATTAGCTATAAGCTCAAACAAAGCCCACAAACTCAACATAACCAAAACCATAAATCAACCCATAAGCTTAAACGAACCTTACCACCACTACCTGGAAAAGCACATTTACGGCCACTGACTAAAAGGGATGATGGGGAATTTCAATCTAACCATGGCTTAGAAGAAACTACACCAAGGGGCTTTTTATTCAAAACACCTCAGTGGACTTATTTACTAACCTAAAAGGAAAAGACGAGAAGAAAAAAGGGGGAGGAGGGGCAGTGACGTTTTTTCCTCATCCCCCTCTATGGAGTTTTCCTTCAGAACTCAAAAAGAGAAAGGGGGGCTAAGGTTTCTTGGGAGTCATGAATCTTGTTGGTAGGTAATCTAGGTAAAATGAAAATGAAACATGTGGGCTAGTAGTTTTAGTGTGGTTTTTTTCCGCATTAGTTTTACTTTTAGCATGTTTGTTTGTTGCCCTATTGGAATTGGTATTTTAAATGTTTTGTTGATGTCCTTGATTATACCGTTGAAGTTTATCTAATGAAGTTTCTATTTGA